CACCGCTTTATTTTATTTAGATTTTTCTCCTGCTGCTCCTCTGAACTTCACGGACCTCAGTATAAATTCAAATGTCACTGTTAGCCTCCACTGGTGTTTTCTGCTATAATAAAGCACTGGCGCGGGATCTGTTGGAGCTGTATCTTATTTTAGAGTCACTGCTTCTTCTGCCACAGCCATTACTCACAGAGGAGGAGGCGTCGGGGCCCAGGGACCATAAATTCAGGAGTGTGGCCCCTGGAAAAGCAGGACTTGACTGTTGTCTGTGAGGTTTGACTCTGCTGAGAGCACTGACCTTTGGAGCGCAGACAACATCGTTTGTTTTTCTCTTCATAATTATTCACAACTGCAGGACTAATGCGGTGTGACGAGCACACTGCTGCCCCCGCTGACAGCTGAGTGCTGCTGCAGTTCATTTACACAGAGCAGATTTACTGTACTGCGCTGAGACACCTTTATGCTCTTCATGCTAATATTGGGCTAAAATGTATTTATTTTAACACAAATATTGTTAATAATATATCATTTCTGGGAGGTTGAGCTGTTATCGGGCGGACGTTCACCCACGGTCATTGGCTGCTTTTGAGATTTTGGGAAAACATTTAAAACATTTTCTGCAAAACAGTAATTAATGTAAAGCTAATTTGAAGCTTAATATTTTTAGATTAACTTGTAACTTGAACATGAACTGTAACTGTAAAATATGTCCAGTTTTGGGAATTAAAATGTGAAATCTATAGCGTTGATTTTTAAAAAAATATATTATATTTTATATTATATTTTTGTGATAAAAATGTTTTTTGTGGCCTTACCTCTACATTGCACCACAGACAAAAATAGGAAATCTGATCTTCTTTCTGTTTTATGTGTGTGTGTGTGTGTGTGTGTGTGTGTGTGTGTGTTACCTTTGGTCGTGTTTAACACTTGGTTCTTTTTGGGTTCTCTTTTTTCCCTGGTGAGTTACTCTGTCGCTGCAGATTGATTCCAATTCGTCTGATCAGCAGTTTCCTGGAAAGAAGGAAAAAAAAAATGACGGCGATGACGACGTTTTTAAAAAAGACATTTTCACCTCAATACAATTCTAATTTTAACCTTCTTTTTTTTTTTTTTTTACAAACCAAAACCTAACTCTGTGTGTAACCACAACAGATCCTGGTCTGTAGATCTGATCGAAGCCTAATTCACTTGTCCTCTGTGTCTTCGTCCTCCAGGGACATCTTCATGGAGATATCAGCTTCCAGAGTTTCAGAGAAAAAGGACAAAATGGATGGCAATGGTTTTGGAGACCTGCTGAAGAAACCGTGGCCTTCAGAGACCAGAGGTAGGCTCTCCGTGTTGGTATTCTGGTCTTACACCCAGACCAGGTCTGTCAGGTCTCCCCGGTCGGTACCGATGGGACCCATGAAATATACATGTCAGAGCTGGTGTCGCCGTAGGTCTGATCAGGAGGTGACCTCACGGAGGACCACTGAAGATGGAAAAACCAGAACGTGTGTGTGTGTGTGTGTGTAAACACGTTCTTAACCATTCATTATTATTTAGCTTTGGGATCAATTAAAGTTATTTATTTATTTCTGCTGTTTATGAGTGAATACCAGACCAACAACAGGTCGGTTTGGAAGATTTTTTAAAAATATATTTTAAGGATTAGTAACATTAGTAACATCTATTGATTGTTTTAGGACATTTGGACCAAAATATGGTTCATTTTTGGCTTTGGCCAATAATATGAGAGACTTTGAAACATGTTTGTTGAACTTACTCACGGTTGGTCACCATTTGTATATGTTTGGATTATTAGACTATTACTAATGTTCATAGTTTTAAAGAGCTAGAATTGAAGCTTTTTCCCCACAGTTTCCTGTACTTTTACTTCAAACTGACTGTTTAAACAGAGAGAAATGAGAACCTGATGAGGTGGTGAATCTAAATCTATCTCATCTCAGGATAATCAGAGTCCAACGTCAAGACAAATGCAGGAACTTTTGTGTCTGCATTTGTCAGAGAACGTCCCGTCGGTGTGTCGGTGCTTCATCAACCAGGGCTGATTGGACTGGAAATCCAGGGTTTATGAGCAGACGTCAGGAAATGTCGCTGAACTTTTACATCTACATTTGCTCAAAAAAAAGAAAGCAGTCGTGTTCCGCCGCCTGGACACTTTCATCAATAACAGTTAGTTTTTCATCCTCAGCATCCGGTTTTCGTGAGGGACGTGAAAAAGCATAAAAAGGTCTTGGAGGCTGCGGTAAATCTGGACCTGAACAGATGTGAGCTGTCATTGTTCATACTTAGTCTCGTTAGAACGTATTAACCAGGTCTGGACTGGACTGGACTGAAGGTCTGAGGCAGAGCCAGAACCAGAACCACAGCCAGGTTCTCTCTGCAAATAAAAACCAACAAACACAACCTCAGTGAGAGAACAGTTCTGGAGGGTCCGGGTCCAGGTCTGATGGAGGCAGCGCTGCAGCAGCAGAGGAGGTTTTTTATTTTAACAACACAGTGACGCTGTGTCATTTCCATAGAGCTCAGGGACCAGGACCTGATCCGCTCCCTCCCCCCACCCTGCTCCATGATAAATGGTTCTATTAGTGGTCCAGATTGTTAAAGTCTGATAGAACAGACCGGAGTAGGGGGGCCTGAGGGCCCCGGGGCGGGGGGGCCATTCATTTTCTCCTGCGTCTGCTTGGTAAACAGCTTGTTTTTGTGTGTAAATAACATATTAAAATCCCAGGCTTTCCGCTTGCTCCTATCCACAGGAAATGGTCGGGAATAAATAACGTCAAGACGGGAAATAAAAAGAGGAGTGGGAATTTTAACAGCTCAGAGGTGACGAGGAGTGGCAGGAAAAACACTCAAACATCAAACGTAAATTTAACCACAGTCACTGCCGATGCACGCGTTCAGGGTTTTTTGAGTGGATGCAGGATCAGGATGAGGGTGAGGATGAGGATGAGGGTGAGGATGAGGATGAGGGTGAGGATGAGGATGAGGATGAGGATTAGGATCAGGATGAGGATCAGGATCAGGATCAGGATCAGGATCAGGATGAGGATGAGGATCAGGATCAGGATGAGGATGAGGATGAGTATGAGGATGAGGATCAGGATCAGGATCAGGATCAGGATCAGGATGAGGATGAGGATGATGATGAGGATGAGGATCAGGACCTGGACATGGTCTGGATGATTATTCCAGAGGGAATTTCTCTGTCAAACTACTGCTGTGTTGCTTAGTAACATTTGTTCACTTTTTGCAGACTCTTTTTCTTCTTTTAGATTTTTCTGGCCTAATATTTGACTTCTAACTATTTTTTCACAGCGCACTCGTAGCCTTTCCATGCTAGCATTTTGGTCTTCCAATCAACTTGGACCATTTTAGCCCTACTTTTTCACAGTACTGCATGTCGATTAATTATTTCTGAATTATTCGTAATTCGTAATTCAAATATTTGAGTATAATATCTTTTATTTCATTTTTTTAGCATCTTTGAGCAGTTTATATTTACTCAACACCTGGTTGTTTTTCACAAGCCTTTACCAAACTTTAAGCTGTTATTTCATCAGCTAACCTTTAGCTGTATCTGCGCTAACCTTTAGGTTTTTGCTATGTTACGGTGGATATTTTGGAAGCGTGAACGTGTTTTTTGTTCTTCTCTCTGCTCTCCGTCAGTGTCTGTAAACTAGGCCACAGGAACTCTTGCCGCTGCTGTTCCTGTTCCTGTTAATGCCGTGATGAATCGGTTCCGGTTCCTGTTGTCATACATCTTACTAAGAGTCACTTTGTCGTGTTGCTGTGCAGAGATTGATGTGGGCTGCTCAGCACGCCTCTCCGCCTCCTCCCACAGCTCTTTCTGCTGAGTGAGTCTGGCTGCTCCGAAGGGACACTAGGAACCATCGGTACTTAGCGCCGCCTTGCCGGTTGCCCCAGGGCATTGTGGGTGGGGGTTCAAGCAAAAGGGGAACTTAAAAGACAGAGGTGTCTCTGCTCCACCAAGAAAACACACTGTCCAGAAAATTGAAAATGTTCTTGAAAATTAGTTTTTCCATTTTGTTTGTAGTCCAAAGAACCAGGAACTGTTTTAAAAGAACCACGTTATTTTTCCTTAGATAAGTAGGTGTAGTTTATTGATCTCAAAATGGATACACAGTATATGGAGTACAGAGAGTACTGTCCAAGAAAGTCCATCGGATGTCACGTTAAACAGTTCTACAGAAGTGGGCAGGAAAGAGTTCTGGTACCGATCAGTTTGGCAGTGAGTCTGTTTCACTGCCAGTTTCATTGATGAAAAATGTCTTCAAGCCTTTTCTGGGTAAACCGTTAGCCAACCACAGGCTTCTGACACACGGTCGCTAACCCTCGGCTTTTTTTATGCTATCTTTGGGACACATTACAGCAGATAAAAAAAGTCATTCCTATAAAAAGATTGTTGATGGTTCTCACAGAACAGGAGCAGCAACCCTTATTTTTGGCCCCATTTTTCTTTGCCATCAGTTCTGACCTCCTGAGTTCTCCCAGGTCTGAACGCAGAACTAACATCAATTACTCACTGCCCAGAGGCCGATAACTAAATCGGTCCTTATCTTTGATCTCCCGCTAACAAATAACTGTTTACAGTCCTGGGAACCCTCTTCATTTATCTTCACCAGGCACTGATCCTGGAACTGAACTGAGTTCCTTACACAGGTCAAATCGGTTCCTGACAGACTGAGGTAGAACTGATCAGGTTCCTGTTCCTCGTTCAGTTCTCTGCTGGATATTGGTTCAGATTAACTGGGGAATTTTAAGATTCATTCATTTGTGTCTATAAAAAATATAATTAAAATCATCAGTTCATTCAGTTATATAAGTTCTAACACTGAAATGTTTTTGGTAAAGATATTAAGAAGTAAAAAAAAACAGACAAAAAGATAAAGAGAATTCAACTGACAAGTTTGATCAACTAAACTGCTGTTGTTGAACAAACTTTTTAAAAGTGAACAAAACAGGCAGAATGATGAGGTAAAAACAGTTAAAGGAAATAAAAGGGGAAAGTGTTCTGACCTAATCAGATTACCTCAGTCTGAAGCTCCAGCCTGGTCTGAACGTAGGAGGAGCTGAGCTCCTGTTTCTTCATCAGGAACCTCCTGCTATGACAAGAACCTTCATCAGAACTGAGGCTGGGACTTTAATTCTCCTCTGATTGAGTTTTCTTTGTAAACACGATCAGCTTGACTTCAAAAAGACAATGTTTTCACTGTGAGAGACGTAGAATTAGTCAACCAGAAACATTTAAATCGCTTTAATTTTTTTTGTCACTGTCTGACTGATTCTTGGAGTTTTCAAACTCTCTGACTACAAGTCCATATAAATCGATCTGAGCATAATCTTCTCAAGTTTTCTGATGTCTCTGGTTGTTGTTAATACTTCCTGCTACAGTATCATTCAAGATACTGACGGTAGTAACAAACAGAGACGTTCACAAGTTCACAAGTCATTTTCTTTCCAAATCCAAGACGAGTCCCAAGTCTTTGAGGCGGTCATTTCAAGTCAGTCTCCAGTTTCAAATGATTGAACTGAACGTTCTCTCGTTGAAAACCTGGTCTAGAAAACGCTGTGTGATAGAATGTAGAAATATTAGAGCAAGACTTGGTAGCAGTAATACTGCAGTAGCAGCCTGAGTGCTTTACGCTGTGGATAAAAATGGTTCACAAGTCCCAAACTTCGAGTTCATGTCAAGTCTCAAGGCTTTGGAGGGCGAGTTTCGAGCATTTGTTCGTACAAAAGCGTCACTCGAGTCACGGTGTCAGATTTCACTGACAGTCTGTGTCTGCTGATGGGCCCGGGCTGCTGGTTCTCTGCTGCCCCCTGTGGTCAGCTGCAGATTTTAAACAGCAAAATCACAAAATAACAAACCTGAACTTCCTGACGGAGGCAGCAGAGAGTCAACATCTGCTGTTACTCTGTGAGTTTAAAGATGATTTTTTTTTTTTGTACGTACCACTGTATAAGAAAAAGAGAAGCATTTTACCAACCTCAGTTTTCTCCATCCATCGATCTTGTTGGATCCATCCGGAGGTCTGGGCCCCCTCTGAAGCAGGAAAAAAGTCCTCATCTCCCACCTGCGAAGCATTTATCAGCAGGAGGTGCATCGCTCAGAAGATTCCCCTGCGGTCAACATCTGTATATCTGCAGAGGAAGAGGAACCAGAGGAGATGCAGGCCTCCTCCTCTGCCTCATTAGGACATCAGTACCAACAGCTTTCAGAGCTAATGTGTTCTCAGGTGTTATTCTTAGCTCAGGTCTTCACCCTCTCTCCTCACTTTGGGAGAAGAATTAGGTCTTTGCTTCATTTCCTTATTTTGCTGCTCATCTGCTGATGATTCCTGGTCTGGGTTTAATCCCAGGCGCCCCCCTGCAGGGGGTGCCAGCGGGGTAATATGGATGTTAGCAGCGGAGGGCACTGACAGCTTCCAGCAGCCACTATTTAATTCATTGTATTTTAATTATCGCTCTCATTCAGCGGCTGCGAGGCCTTTTCTTTACCTCACCGCGACAGCGCAGCTTTATCACCGCGGCGGCGTCGCCTCACATAATAAACTTTAGCTTTAAGGTAATTACTTAATCTGGACAAACCTGTGTGTTAAGCAGCGCTATTAAGGCAGGGGGCGATAAATCAGGCGAGTGTCGCAGCTTTGGCTGATTACCAGACGGAGCAATCAGTCTCTGAAGCCTTTGCGCTGTGTGTTTTTTTTTAAGTAGCTAAATTACACAAACAGAGTGTTAACAATGTGCTGCTGACAACATGAGCAGCGGAGGAGCCTCAACCAGCTCTGCTGCTGCTGCTGCTGCTGCCGCTAAAACTGCTGCTGCTGCCGAATGTTCACCTTTTAATCCTCTGATAAATGAGGTCATTAACACATGGTGTGAGCGAAAACTCCGAGGCCACACACTGACGCTGGAAATCTGAAAATGACAACTTTACGTGTATTCAGTCAACTTATCCTGCAAGTTGACTTTTAATGTGGGACAAAGAGTCTCCGTCTCTGTGAGAGGTTCAGTAGGAGCTCCAGGACAGATGATCAGCTCAGGAGTCGAATGCTCTCACCTCTCAGGGCCTTGAGTTGTCAGTAGAAATAAAGCCAGATTTGTAGGTATCATTCACTGGGAAAAAGTGAAAACAAATGTTCAGCTGAAACCAGTCAAAATGTTTAGTTGAATATAGAAAACTGAAAGCTGAAGCAAAGCTACAAAGTAACTAAATTAGCCTCAAACTCACTAAAAACGTATGGACCCATACTGTACCTACCAACAAGATCAAACCAAAATCCATTTAAAAGAATTCAAAATTATTACCAACGTAAAACTGAAAACAATTATTTCAATTAATTTCAAAATTAACAACAAGGTAAAAGTATTATTTTTGCTAAACAGAAAGCAAAACCTGAGCCCAAAAAGTACGGAGATTATCTTCAAAGTTAGCTGAAAATAGTTAGAGGCAGTTAGAGTTAGAGCCTCAAACTGACCACTGGAGGCAGCACTGGACTATTGTGCCAGGGTGAGTGATTTTCCGATGGTAATTATAGACTCCAGTTCTTCCTTTATCCTGACCAACTTTGTTCTTCTAATAAGCTGAAATAAGTCACGGCAGAACTTTTAAAATATGCACATACTTTGTCCGGCGCGCTAACACTGGCCTTGTTTTTGTTTTTGGTCTCACACCAAACTCTGAGATAAGGCTGTGCAGCAGATTTACGGGGCTGCAGCAGAAGTCCAGCATCAGTCGTGACTTTGAAAAAGTGTGTGTGCTCTGGACCCTGGTGCTGAAACAAATGTGATGAAGCTAAGACTAATAGAAGG